GAAAAAAAAAAAAAAAATGCCAAGGTAGCCAGGCTGGCATGGCTCAGCAGTTGAGCATCAACCTATGATCCAGGAGATCGAGATTCAATTCCCGGTCAGGGCATATGTCCAGGTTGTGGGCTCGATCCCCAGTGGAGGGTGTGCAGGAGGCAGCCAATCAATGACTCAACATTGATGTTTCTATCTCTCTTTCTCCCTCTCCCTTCCTCTCTCTGAAATCAAATGAAGACATATTTAAAAAAAAAAAAAAAAAAGATGCCAAGGTAATTCATTGGAGAAAGGATAGCCTTTTCAACAACTGGCTATCCATACAGGAAAAAAGTGAACTCCAACCTTACCTCATGCCATACACAAAAATTAACTTGAAATAGATCACAGACCAAAACATACAAGCTATAAGATATTTTGAATACAGGGGAAAAACTTTCATGACCTTAGAATAGGCAAAAATTTTTTTCTTTTTTTTAAGTTTCTTTATCTTTATTGTTGAAAATACTACAGATGTCCCCTTTTTACCCCCATTGATTCCCTCTACCTGGCATCCATCCCACCCCCAGGCCTTCCCCAGACCAGTGTCTGTGTCCGTGGGTTATGCTTATAAACATATAAGTTCTTTGATTAATCTCTCCCCACCTACTCCCTCCTCCCCACCTTCCCCCTGAGATCCCTCAGTCTGTTCCATGCTTCTGTGTCTCTGGATCCATTTTGTTCANTTTTGTTCATCAATTTATTTCGTTTATTACATTCCACATATAAGTGTGATCATGTGGTACTTGTCTTTCTCTGACTGGCTTATTTCAGTTAGCATAATACTTTCTAGTTCCCTCCATGCTGTGCCAAAGGATAAAAGATCCTTCTTTTTTACAGCTGCATAGTATTCCACGGCGTGAATGTCCCACAGCTTCTTTATCCACTCCTCTACTGATGGGCACTTGGGCTGTTGAAAAACTTCTTAGATAGGAAACAAAAACCATGAGCCGTCAAAGAAAAAGATAATCTCATCAAAATTATAAACTTCTACTCTTCAAAATATATTAAGAAAATGAAAAGGCAAGCCATAGACTAAGAAAAATATTCACTGTGTGTGTGTGTGTGTGTGTGTGTGTGTGTGTATCTGACAAAGGACTTGTATACAGACAATATTAAAAATGCACATAATTCAATAATGGGACAATAATCCAATTTTTTCAAGTGGGCAAGAGATTTGAAAAGACACTTTACAAAAGACAAAAAGAGTGCCCAATAAATACACAAGAAAGTTCCTCAATATCACTTACCAGGGAAATGCAAAATACAACTTCAATATCATTTATCAGGGCAATATAAATTAAAACCATACCCATTGGAAGGGCTAAATTAAAATGTGTAACAACAGCAAGAGTAGACAAGGATGCAGAGCAACTGGAACTCCTATACCTGATTGGTGGGAATATAAAAATGGGGCGACCACTTGGAAAAGAGTTTGACAAAGTTTGACAAGTTTCTTACAAAGCTGAACATATATTTACCAAACAACCCAGCAATTTTACGCCTAGGTATTTACCCAAGAGAAATGTAAACATGTGCACAAAAGGTGTCGTTCATGAATGTTTACAGCAACTTATTTGCTATAGTTAAAATCTGGAAACAACCCAAGTGACTAGATGAACAAACTGTGATATAGACATACAGTAGAACACCACTAACAAATAAAAAGGGATAAATCATTGCTATACCAACAACATGAATGAATCGCAAAAAGCTGATGATGAAGTCAGGTTCTAAGGACTAATACTGTGTGATACCATTTATATCAAACTCTAGAAAAGATTAATCAAATCACAGGAAAAGAAAACAGACCAATGGTTGTCTAAGACTGGAGGTTAGGTAAGGCTTTTTTTTTTTTTTTTTCCAAATATATCTTTATGGATTTCAGAGAGAGGAAGGGAGAGGGAGAGAGAGAGAGACAGAAACATCAATGATGAGAGAGTTATTGACCGGCTGCCTCCTGCACGCCCCCGACTGGGGATCCAGCCCACAACCCAGGCATGCGCCCTGACTGGGAATCCAATCTCGATCTCCTGGATCCTAGGTTGATGCTCAACTGCTGAACCATGCCCAACTGGGCGAGGTAAGGCTTTTTGAGACAGGTTACAGGGAACTTTCTGGAGTGATAGACATGTTCTATATCCACTGAGGTAGTAAGTATGTGGGTGTATGTTTGTCAAAACTTTTCAAAATGTACACTTGAAAAAACGGGTGTATTTTACCATACATAAATTATACCTTCATAAATCTGATTTTTTTTAAAGGGAGGGAAGGGGGATTTCTGAGATGTTCAAAGTACATGCTAGGGATATGAATGATTATGTTTTTCCTTGCACTCTCAGTATTTTTTTAAAGTTCTCTCTCCCTAACCACCCAAAACAATTTTAAACTGACTACAGCCCGGCCAGGCGTGGCTCAACGGTTGAGTATCGATCTAGGATCCAGGCGATTGGGGTTCGATTCCCGGTAAGGGCACATGCCCAAGTTGTGGGCTGGATCCCCAGTCAGGGACGTGCAGGAGGCAGCCGATCAATGACTCTCTCATCATTGATGTATCTATCTCTCTCTCCCCCTCTCTTTTCCTTTCTGAAATCAATAAAGATATTTTTTTTAAATAAATAAACTGAGTACAATAAAATAATGATCAAATTGTCTCACTTCAAAAAATATATTTGGCTTTTCTCCAAATTACAGACCTAATCGGTTTTACTGCTTAATATAATTTTTTAAAATGTACTCTGCCATAGCCAGTGTGGTTCAGTGGTTGGAGCATACACCCATGTATGTACAGAAGGGTCTCAGGTTTGATTCCTGGTCAAGGCACATACCTGGGTTGCAGGTTCAATCCCCAGCCCCCAATCAACATATCTCTTTCACATCTCTTTCTCTTTCTCTCTCTTTCTGTCTCCTTCCCTCCCTTTCACTCTCTGTAAAAATCAATGGAAAAAAATCCNGGGGGCATGTGCGGGAGGCAACCAATCAACATATCTCTTTCACATCTCTTTCTCTTTCTCTCTCTTTCTGTCTCCTTCCCTCCCTTTCACTCTCTGTAAAAATCAATGGAAAAAAATCCTCGAGTGAGGATTAACAAAACAAAACAAAAAATTTCTATGTATTTCAATAGCTTTCCAAAATCCTCAAAAAGCTTTCCCCTAAATTATCTACTTTAATCCTCGCAATAACCCTGTGACATGGAGAAGTCACATTTTATAAACTTAATCTCTAAAGAAAAATTTCTTAAAGCATCACTGAATTTTATTAATTTATAAACACAGTATATCCCTGGGGTTCTAGAATTTGGTGTTTTAGAATTTTTAAATTAATACATGCTATCTACAATATGGTAAGAGGCAAACAAAATGGAAAGAATATAAATGTCCATACATATGTAAAAGGTTTAACACTCATATTTAAAACCTATCATAGCCCAGGCGGGCGTGGCTCAGCGGCTGAGCATTGACCTAGGATCCAGGCGATCAGGGTTCAATTCCCCATCAGGGCACATGCCCGGGTTGAGGGCTCGATCCCCAGTTGGGGGCGTGCAGGAGGCAGCTGATCAATGACTCTCTCATCATTGATGTTTCTATCTCTCTCTCTCCCTCTCCTTTCCTCTCTCTGAAATCAATAAAGATATATTTAAAGGAGAAAAAAAACCCTGTCATAAATCAATAAGAAAAAAATCTCAAGGGAACAATGGGTAAAGATTATTCACTGAAAACTAAGAGAAAAAAAGGAGAAAATGTTCAAACCCACTAGTAAAACAAAAGAAATACAGAGTAGGACAAGATAACCATATTCACTATCGACTTGTTAAAAATAATAATAATGCTCAAAATAATTCAGTATATTTTTTAACTAAAATAAGTTTCTCAAATTCTAACCAACCAAAACCTTAGAACAAGAGTACAGACATTTATTTAATTTTTTGGTTACATACCTGACAACATACTAAGAAAATGAAGAGAGTTATAGCAGTCCATAGTACCTTCTCTCTAAACTGGATCTTACAACAAAATATAAAAAACAGTTGATCAAAGCCAAGAAAAAGGAAATATAAAGCAAAAACCCCTATTAAAGCATAGCCAACATTCCCCAACATGACAAGCTATTTTTAACTCTTAAAATACTCTCACCCTTGATTAGCAGCAGCTAAACCAAACACCTGAACTTCTCAAACATAACTTTTTTTCTCAAATATAACTTTCTTTACTTTTGCAAGAATATAATTTAAATACAGGTGGTCCTCATCGCACTATACTGTTAACTAAAACCGAAAAGGATGCAAAGCAAGACACCATCCAATATGCACGCATTTCAGTTAACAGGGTGCTATGCAAAGCTAGGCCTGCGTGTAATAGTATATGAACATCTATTTTTATAACCTCAAAGCAATACAAAAGGAATATACTTCTAAATAAAAGAGTAAGTTTAACAAAAGTTTTATCTATCTCTTTTTATGTCTGTATGTCTGTTAGTTTCATGAGAAATCAAAATTACAGTAGAAGAGGAATGTCTGGAAACTGGCCAGTTTGGGATTAACAATATTTCTGGAATTTAAATACCCTATCTCCAGAAGTGCACAATGATGGAAGAACAATTTGATGCAGTCACAATATCTTCTTGAATGCATTCCTGTGATTCTTCTTTGCACTGAATGAATCAAAAAATGGAAGGTGTATACTTGCACAGTTGCAATTTATGTAAAACAGCTGTACTCTTCGAAAAGACCAGCAGGTAGGGCCATTCATTAGCAAGCACAGTGCACACCCCATACTACAGGAATTATAAAGATCACTACAGACAGGGAAACATTATATCTTACCTAACACACAGGCCAAAAAAACACTTGTTTTGGAAATGTTAGAACTTCAAGAACAGTTATTTTTGAAACCATGAGACAAGCTATCTAAACAGGTCTATACTAGTTTTATTCACTTCATGCCTCTTGGAAGAAGGTAATATTTTTCCAAGTACAACCACAATAGGGTTGGGGGAAAATAAATCAATCTTGCTAGTTTAGCAGAATAAATCCATTAGGAAGCCTCTATATTACTAAATATTATACTTACTTTCCTTTCAGGTTTCTGAATTTCTGGTAGAACCGCACAGAAAGGTTTGATAACTTCTAAAAATTTGACTGTGGGGGGAAAAAAAGAATAAATGTGCCTATCACAGTTTTTTAAAAAGAGATGTATCTTTTTACAGAATCAAATGCAAATGTTCTCTAACTTTTAATGTCAATTCATCCCATTCTCCACTCCCAAAATTAATCATAATGCTCTCCATTTCAAATATAGAAAAGAGAAATAATTCTAGAAACAAAAAAAAATCCAAAAAGTTTAAGGGCTCAGTCAGTAAAAGACAAGTAATACAAGTATCCTTTTAATCATGATTTTGCTTCCTCATGCGTTATCCAATCCTTTTATACATAAAGAACATAAACCACATAAGTTACTTAATTTAAACTGAAAGATGCTGCAGTGAGTAAGATCATGGAATCGCTTTTATATATAACTTTTACTTCATTTCATTAAGTCACTATTCATTGCTTGAATGCCTTCCCACATAATGATCTGAAAGTACTTGCTTATACACAATAAACAGCCCTGAGAATGACAATTACATTTCATCAAACATAACTGCTTTCCCAGGCTACTCTTATAATATATAAAAGATAAACCAAGGTTCTTTAAGGAGAGACAGCATCTTCTGCTATGACTGAAGTCAAACCCTTCCAAAGAACTGGAGGGTGAAGATAATAATCTCTCAGTCTTCAGTCTTGGCCAGCGTCTGCAATATGCAGAAACACAAGAGGCCGCAACTAGCTATTAGTTATGATCATCTTCCCCATGATTCTGTAGTAGTATCATGAAATTGTTTTAAAACTGACAATTATACTTCAGCAGTTAGTCAAAGTCTATCTTTTTTATAGAACCTCAAAATGATGGCACTCACTGATTTATCTGATAGAGTTCTGAAATTCTCATGGGTGGATGTTTGTAACCCATACCATTTTGAACTATTTGGAAAGTAAATTTGAATTATGAAAGTGTTATCTCTGATACAAAACAAATAGCAACCACATCAGGAAACTTCCTAGAATCCCTTTATCCCTTTATCCCTTTCCCATCGCATATCAATCCAAGCCACCCTCCCAGATGTTCTGTCATTTCATGATCACCTGTGCTGTAGGATTTATGTTTAAGCAATGCTTTTGTCTGCTACATGTCTACTCTTGTGTTGCAAAATTTTACCCATTATACTGTAAATTAAATGCCAGAGTCTCCTCTACTTCCTTTCTAGCTTCCCCCAAAAGTCCACTAGTTGGCCAATGGGTGCACAGCTTGGGTGTGCAGTAACCCATTCATCCTACAAACATCTGAACAGCTATGTAATATGTGTGGTGCTGAGTGTCTGGGGGAGGGCCTCAGAAGATCCCCATAATACAAGGCCTTGTCCTTAAGGCTCAAACAACCTTACACACAGTGAGTTTTCAGTAAACGCCTCAGAATGACTGAAATAAAAATTTTAAGGAAAACTCTATGCTACCTAAACATATTCGTTTCCTCCCCTAAAATACATGACATGCATCACTTTTCTAAAATTAAACAAGTCTGGAAGCTTTACTCATCATAACATGCCAAGAAAGGGTGATTTGGCAATAAAAATATGACCTTTTATCTCCTGAAAAATTCAAAGTGGTCCAGGTTTTGCCCAGTTCTCTAACTCCACGCCCCCAAAACCAGGGGCCTCCCTGCGCTTCGCCACCCATGGAGCGCAAATACCGGCCCTGCGGGCCCGGGTCCCCGCAGGCGGCCAGGGCAAGGCCTCGCCAAGGTTGGAGGAGCTTCTGCTGAGGCCTCCCGCCCACCTCTAC